ATCTCTTACCTCTGCAATATTTACTGAATCTCATCCCACGTGATTCGCCTATTCTTCTAAATTAAATTTTTGACCGCTAACACGTTATCTTTCATAAGAGCTATCAAAGGGTGACCCCCTATGAGAATACCTTAGTAGCTTAGTTATGTATATATGCTTTCCGGGGTCACTTCTTTCTTTATCTCTCAAAGTTGACCGTGCTGTAATTTATTATATCAGCGGCACGCGGTTGCTTTAGAAGGGCCATTATCCATAAATACCTCTAAAGTCTATCAAACAATTCGTCCTGTTTGAGCCGGTATTTGAAGTCGTAAAGAATCGTCGCGAGAAAATGTTTCCGACGCAGAAGAATTTTTAACATTGGTTGATAGAGAATTTTGACTGACAAAATGGGAAATATTTTCGTATTGTTCGTATCATTACTGATTAAGTGGGAAAAAAATAGACAACATAACATTTTTTTTATATTTATGATATATATAATATTATAGTATTTAAAATTAATCAGATTTTAATTGTGACCGAGTACTTAGCCTCAGTAATGGTAACTTGTAAAAGTTAGGTATGCAACACACATGCAAATATTAAAATTAAATGTATCATATCGTACATGCGAATAAAATAACCTTCCTATGGCTATCGAGTCGGGTAATTAAATGATGAACAAAATGAGACTAGTACAATGTCATCATATAAAAATTATTGTGCAAGCACATTAAGCGCGCAGGCTCGGCCGCTGGATGTGGTGCAAGCCCATTGTTCGTTGACAATAGGGAAAGCATCTACTATAACATGGAGCCGACGACCATGTTATTTGGGGCCACGAAATTTATATTTTGATCGTGAGTTTCCTCATTTTTATAACATATAATATTTGAAGCGACAAACGCACTTCCACTTCAGTTTCAAGTCACTGCAACCAGTGGACACTTACAACCAACTTCAAATAAATAAGTCTACGGATGCGTTCTCACCCTCGAGGACCAAGATGGAATGCCTCACAGCCTTTAATTATACTGGCTCTCTAAACCCTTCAGACTGGAAGTCAAAAGTGAACACACTTCTATTTAATAGCAGAAATAACTAAGAAAGTGGTGTCTACCCAAATGGACACCTGAACTTCCTAAAACCTAGTATTATTACAATATTCGGAAGTTATCAAGTAGTACAAGTCATATGTTTTAAAAAAGAAAATAAATATTATCAAACGAGCTGTTCCCCGCGACTTCATCCGCGTCAAATTTTTCGGTCCTTTTTTTAAGTTTTTTTGCGCAGAACTCTATCTCTTTCTCCAAAGTGAAAGTAGCCTAAGTTGCTCCTTAAAACTTCAGCTATCTGCCAGTGAAAGTCCCGTGAAAATCGTTGTATCAACAAATAGACACACAGAAAGACCAGATAGACGTTCAAAACTTTAATGTTATTATGTTATAAGTATCGGTATACACTCGTATGCATTTAATAAAAAGCTGTGTTTTTGTCACTAAAAACAGACACTTCAATTTTATTTACTTGTATACATTACGAATCCATGTGTGGCTTAAAGAATTCATATCGTTACAAATATCGTTTAATGGGTATCGTGAGAGGTGGCTATGAGATATGTCAGAAAGATTTCATAGATAACAATATGATCATCTTGTTTACGCTAGGCGTCAAATCCTAGACCGGTGACGGGAAGCAGCATCAAATGTGACGTCACGAGACGTCTGGATCTGCAATCGTCAACGCAAATGCCAAGCGTCGCGATTAAGGCAAATTTTCCCCAACAGGAAAGCTCCGTGTCCGTTCGTGGACTCTTAAGGTCTGCTATGCTAAGTCGCTGAATAATACAGGAATTCCTTTAATACTTTTAAAATAGCACTAAAATTATGCAAAACTTTAAAATGTGTCTAACAATATATGTAACTAGCTTGCCAGGCAGACGTTCTGACCTTTTCGATGACCATTTGTCATGTCCTGTTAAAAATACGTATATTCGCAAAAAAAAAAAAATTGTGGCTCACTCATGGGCAAAAAACTATCCTAAATCTCAAGTTTGTAAGGGTAAATTGCCGGTGGTAGATGATTCCACAAAGAAGACTTGCGAGGAAAACAACTCCTAGTAAATCAGTTTTTTTTTTATATAGGATAGGGTGACAAACGAGCACACAGTCCACTGATGGTAAGTGGATGCTGTGGCCCATAGACATCTACATATATCCTCGATTACGAATCAAAATGCAGATGCGTTGTCACCCGTGAGAACTAAGATGGAATGCCACGTTTCCAGTAAAAAGGGTCTCCGGTTCTCTACACTCATACACACACGAAACACAGCAGCATTAAGCTACTATTTGACGCTGGTATTCTGTGAGAGCGTGGTCCTTCCCCGGTCGAGTCGAACCATTCGTTCTACAACTATACTACTAATATAACCGAGCATGGCTCTACCACGTATAAAATAGTTACATTAAAGCTTCATCTCTTATTTTTCCACCTTTACGAATGGAATTTATTCCTCAAATTTATATGGGGATAACCTATTTATTAAAAATCATTTAATGAAGTCGTCGCGTTACATAGTGCATGCATATAAAAAACATACAGTCAAATTGTTAACCTCGTCCTTTTTTTGAAGTTAGCTAATAACTTTTCTCTAAATTTCTGACGAGAATAATTGGAAATTATTAGTATAAAACAAGTCATCCAAGTTTCGATAATAAATTAATACGACACATTGTACAAAATTAAGTCGCATCCCGCGTCTGTAAGCTTAGATCTTGTAAACTACGCAACGTATTTTGATGCGGTTTTTATCAATAGACAGATTCGAAAAGGTTTATATGTATAATATGTGCACAGGTTGTCGATATCCAAAAATCACATGTGCGAAGCTGGGGCCGATCGCTAGTTAAATCTATAGTAATAGTGCTGCGACAATTTGAAAATTAGATTATTTTATTATATACTTAAATATTGTGAACATATGCGTAAATATTTAAATGTCGCAGTGAGGTGGTTAAAGTCGTGATATAGTTATATCCCTAAGGATATAGCTATATACCGTAATATAGTACGTGTAAATGATACGTATAAATAAAATTGCACTCTCTGTCATATCGAAATGACTGCCTTCTATCGAGCTCGGAGGGTTACTTACAATTTGCATGTAATTATGGCTTGAATAGCTATTTATAAATCTTTTTTCTGTCCTGTGTATAATGTTCAGCAATGCCAAGTGTGATCTAGGCTATATTTTGTCCCAAAAACTTGGAGTGTAATTTTTTTGTAGATTCGAAAAATTGATAAAATAAATAGTCATTGATGATTATTTAAAAAAAGTAAATGACTCCACCTTAATAGATCCCACACAGGCCAAAGCCGGGACGGTTTGCTTTTTCATTAAGAAATATTAACAAAAATACTTTAAAGCGTTAATAAATTTAAACAAAAGTACTATGTGACTTTAAAATAAATGAAATTACTTTCAGCTTCATAGCCACACACGTCCCCGTTCCTTGTCTATTATTTTCATTCAAGCAAATGTTCCATAAAACATATTGTTTTAAAAAATCTTATCGAAGAGTACATACATCATGAAGTGTACGCAAATTACTCAATGTTTAGAGATTTTGAAATAATATATTAAAAACTGACGTCAGCAGACAACATGAACAATTTTAATCATCAAAACAAAAATATTTATACTTACACGAGAATCCTAATAAACATATGTTATGGTCGCGTAATATTATGTTTTTATACTGCTAAAATGTAGAAAAAACTTTGTGTACCGTTGATGTCTTTAATATCAAAGTGTGGTTACTATTAAAAAGACATCAACGGTGTTCATGACAAGTAATTCTAAATGACATTGCAAGTTTGTTAAATTTGTAGTTCTTTGTGTTAACTATTCCTTATATAATAAACGTCCATAAAAGGTAAAACCCAAGAAGACTAAATGATTTCGTTCTATTAATGACGTATAATTGCATCCTTATGATTCATTTGAGCGATAGCGTAACTTATGCGTAATTTATGTGTCGATATATATTAGTATTTTGGAGTTCGTTGATATACATACGTACTTTTAAACTCATAATATAAACAGATTTGATATCGATCATAATATAAATAGATTTGATAAAACTCTGATGCGCATGTCTATAAATTAATGTTCTCTAATCTCACCAATGGAAATATGAACAGGAATATGCTGCCTTTACAATTTGTGTGCGTCGCATTGCTACTTGCTTTAGGAAAATAATGTTTGATTCTTAAACATGTACCACATTCGTAAGTGGACGTGCGTAGGATGGTTCTTATTTTAGAGTTAATTAATTTTTTGATTTAAATGTAAAAAGGTATATTATGTACCAACTCTGTTGTTCTTATCTTCTATTTCTACCATCCGGTACCTACTAGATGTCACTAGTGCTTTGTTACTTTGACAGGCGCGTGTAATGTGTATTGCCTCTCTTTCGTGCACAGCAGTGAGAAAAATGTTTATCTTCTCAAATCATACTCGAAATACAATTGCGCCACCGCCATCGTTAATCTCCGTTCGATGTCGTAGAGTTTCGTGAATTGAATATTTTATTGAATTTATTCAAGTGGAACAAGTGTAATAATGTTTGCGTGCGGGAGTCGAAAAATGAAAAAGAGATCAAGGTGTTGAGCACAATGGATCCTTCGTATTACTTGTACAGTGTTTCGCGATCAAACAAGGTAATATCTATATTCGTATAAGACAAAAGGCACGCAGTGGCTTCGTCCTTCGCACATTAGAGCCATCATTATCTAAGTATTGCTGAGGTGATTATCAAAACTAATGCAAATAGTGCATGTAAGTATATTTCGGATAAGCGGCCAACGCCAGTAGATATACTTTACGTTGGTAATAATCGACGCCTCTACTAATTACCTCTTCTCGGTGGTGGGTTATTATTGCTTGCTCATATAACAACATATTATTTAAGTAGAAGAATATGTACTAATGAGATTTAAATAAATTGTTCATAATGGCTAACGTAAAAAATAGATTAAAGACACCTAAAAAGGACTCACATAAGAGTAAGAGTATTGGTAAAAATACTCAAACATCAACAGGTACCAATGATGCATCATTCTCTCACATAGTCATGAAAAGACCCAGTACAATACAACCCTTAATAGCAGAAGAAAAATTGCAACTATTTCTTAAGAATGGCCATCTAATTAAAGATAAACTCAAAAAGAAGACATCTGGCAAAAACGATAGAAATAAATTAGATTTAGTTAAAGGGAGCTTAATGTCAAAAAGTGGACGAATAAAAACTAAAAAGAAGGATCATTTGAAGTTTCTTGATAATATTTTAAAAAGTGAGTTGTTAATTCAAGATAACTCTGACAAAAATAAAAGAAAAAGTCCAGAGGCAGATGGGCTCAATAATAATGATAAGGACTTAAGTGATCAAAATGGCATAACTGCTTCCACTGGTATTAAAACTTCTTTAAACAGTGAATCTAAAAAAAAGAATTCAAAGCAAAATGGAAAAGAGTCAAAAAGAAATAAAAGAAAAGAAGAAAAACATAAGAATGAACTGTTGATGGCTAAACAATGCCTTACCTACAATAAATCTTCAAAGAGACCCATATTTCAGTGTGATTACTGTCAAAAATTTTTCATAAATAAAACATCATTACGTAGACATATTTATGTACACCTTAAAGTAGTTCCACACTCCTGTAACTTCTGTTATAAAAGATTTTTCATAAAACAAAATATGGAGACACATCTGAAACTGCAACATGCGCAGGGTCTGAAGATTGCAGATCATTATGTTTGCCGCATCTGCGAAGAACCATTCTTGCTAAAAGATAATTTAGATTTGCATATGACAACACATGTGAAAAATGAAAATTTGCTAAAGTGTGTATTCTGTAACAAGAAGTTTAGTCATCAGGTACTACTAAATGAGCATGAAAAAGAACATATAGTCACTGGTAAATACCAATGTACTGTTTGTGAAATGAGTTATGACTGCAGAAGCAATTTTGCACGTCACATTAAAAGTCATTTGAAAATCAAAGATTTTATTTGCCAACATTGTGGCAAAGAGTTCTTACGACTCAATTCAATGAGGAGACATGTCCAGATTTGCCATGGTGGAGAAACAATACAATGCCCAGTTTGTAAGAAGAACTTAAAGGGGCATTTGACTGAGCACTTACGCACTCATGAGAAAAAGCGTCCTCATAAATGTCAAGATTGTGGCCAAAGATTTACTCAATCTACACAGTTGAACGTTCACCGCCGATCACATACAGGTGACAGACCATATCCATGCAGGATTTGTGATCGCCCATTCTCACATTCCAATGCACTAATGCTACATATTAGAAGACACACAGGAGAAAAACCTTTCACATGTGCAATGTGTCCACTGTCCTTTTCACAGTTGCCTCATATGAAGGCTCACATGCGAAATATTCATGGTAAAGACCACCCCTACAAATGTGGTAAATGTAATCAGTTCTTTAAGCTGAAAGCTCAATTAGACAGCCACTTAAAAATATGTAAGGTTGGCGATACTGAAAGATCATTTGAAGGATCAAACGGGCTGCCTAAGAAATATGATGAAATTGAAGTTGAATCGGTTATGACTTTGTCACGTATGAGGTTCCTGCTGGCACTTCTTCTTACTATGATTGCAACCAAAGAGAAACTCAAATACTTAGGTGCGTAAACTTTTATTTTCTCAGAAATATTCACATACATGAAGTTAAATGCACTGAATGTTTTTATTTTAAAATTAGCATACATTGCTTCCTGTGTGTGTGCCCATAACAGGAAACCATTTTTGACAACCTACACAACATTAATTATTTTCATTCAGATTGAACAGTTTATACAATGTGTTTGAAAATAATTTACAAAAAAAAATTATCCTACTTGACATCAACAGGATTTCATATTTCACCAGGCTTCATTTAGTCACTTTAATGATTGTAACATTGTTGCACAATCATCACTTTTGTTTGTGTATTCAAATTATACATGAAATATTAAAGCGTTACAAAATTTGTGTGTAGGTATTTATTTTATGTGTGCTTTTGTGAAATGTTTTGGTATGTTTGTCAACCAGTTTTGAGGCTTCAACACTTTAATATTTAGCAGTGTTATCATCTTTTTATAGGCGGCAGGCGAATAAGCAGACATAATTCATGGGTAATAGAATTAGAGTGAGTTCATTTTTCATTTTGTTGATAACATTGGTGTTGGTGGTGGCCTTGAGGGTATTGGATGTAGATGGGATTTTTATGGGATGGTTTAAGTTCTTTGATTCTTATGCTTTTTTGTCTACATCTGCTTTAATTCAAAAATATGTTCTTTTCAAAACTGGTGTTGGCTTAAGATTTGTCTTTATGTAAATTTATACACAGCAGGCAAAATTTCAAAATTAAATTGTATACATCTTATATTATGGACAAAATATATAGGTACTTGAATTTAAAGATAGCATTTTATCCGTTTTTAATTACTTATACTGATTATGAAGATATATTGACAATTAAAATAATCCATAATTTCTTCACATTAACTCAATATGATTTTAGGTAAATACTAGAAATTTATAATTCACTGAATATGAAAATAAATATCATATTTATTTTCTATGCCTTTTGTAAATAGTACTTATTGCCCGCAATTGTTAATGTTAAAGTAAGATCATATTTCGTGAATCCTAATATTTATATATTATTTTCGACAGGATTCAATAAACGCCTCATTGATGACCTTCTTTTGGAATCACTTGAGGCAATGGGTCATACACCGTGTCGAGATGAGTCTTTGTCACCATTGAAGCGTCTCAGAAACAATATAGAAATATTACTTAATGGCACTGTTCCTAAGGAACAAATGGAAAAATTTCGAAAGGAAAATAAGACCACAGAAGAATTGTTGGAACTACTGACTAATGAGAAAAAAAACAAGTAACCTAGTCTAATAAACAAAATATTTCATCGTGTTTTTATGTACAGTATTGAGGTTTAAGTTTTGAATATTAAGTTATGACCTAAATGTGTCCCTCTGCTGGGCATAGGCGTTCTCACATTTCTGAGGTTTTTATTATTGCTCGAAAACTGAGCTGTCTGTGTTGGCACATTCCACGTCTTCAAAACATTTATAATTTCTCAGACATGCAAGTTTCTTCATAATGTTTCCCTTTACCACCAAGCACATGGTAAATTTGCTCTACGTTGCTTTTGTATTGTGGAAATTTACGGCAAGTGCCCAGCCCCTGAGCTATCAAAGCTCTTCATTTTTAATTTATTATGAGTAAAATGTTGTAAATAACATACAACTTGGAATTACCTTCCTACTAACATTTATTTTATAATGTCTTTTAGCACTATTTATATCATTCACATAATACCTAATTTATTAGTTGTAAGCATACATTATATCAACAATCAACTTTTATAGTTATTCACTTTTATTAGTGATAAGAACCCAAAGAACACAGAATCTACTTGCAATAATAATATGCAAGGTAAATAAATTATAATTATTTAATTTAATTTCTTAAATTCTTGTAGCTTGCCATTGAAAACTAAAGTGATTAGTCCAAAGGTCATATATAAATTGTTATTTATTTATTATAAATCTTATTTTTACTTATAAGTAGAGCTTTTAGCTACTCATAATTTAAAGTTATTTTTTTAAAGTGCATTGTGGAATTATTTTTTATTTTTACAGGAGTTTGTTGTAAATCCTCTTTTTAAAATTTGTTTGTATATATACAAAGAAAATTATTGAATTCTGGGCTTCAGAATTTTTGTGCCATTGATTATTGTTTTAAGATATTTCATGAATAGGTAATGATTTTAGACAATCATTGTGTTTGTTTGCTATATCTGCCATCGATAAAAAGTTGGATTATTGCATGTTTAAATATTTATCTCTTTTTACAACATTAATCATAATTAAAGCTGAACGCACATTAGGTCAGCAAAGTACGCGCCGTACGCTCCGCTTATAAGAATACGTTGTATAAAATCATATGAAACCTCGCACATTGCAGCCGCACCGTATGCGCCGTATTTTGTAAAATGCGGTAGGTATCCCAATGTTGAAGGAGGCTTCCTGATGACGTCATATAATGCGGCGAGTTTGGCACGTGCGGATATCCAGTGTTTCTAATCTCTGTCTAATGTTGCTAACTTAGTAGATTTTCCACTAATACCGGAGGTTTTGACTTTCGTTTCGAAATACATTTTTAATTCATTCAGTGTAGACAAAAATAAGTCTTCCGACAAGACTTTATATAATTTTTAATTATTTCGTCATTAATTATACATAATTTGAAAAAAAAAAAGCATCCATATCAGTATGAATACTTAGTGATGAATTATTCACATACAATAAAACGTATGGCGTTGGAAGGAAAAGGAGAGAATTCCCTCCGCTCCGAAAACGCTCCGTTTGATAGTTTTTTTTTTTACGTCCGAAGCAAATAAGGGCAACCCTCCGGTAACGGGGGAGGGAGGTAGTGAATGCTCATAGCATACCAAAAGTAGGTATAAAATAAAAGGGTCTCCACATAAGGGTCTCCAGATAACCACGCAGCCGGCTGCGTGGTTATGTGGGGACTTTTACCCACTAAACACCACCTTTTGGGATCGGCTTAATGGTCTAGCTCTAGCGAGAGATCTTTAAGCCGTAAACGGACGCGACCCTCCTTGGGTGAAAGGAGGGCGCAAGCGGCGAGTAGCCGCTTGGAAGTGTGCCTAACTAAGGCAGATTACGAGATGACTTAAGTAGGCTCGGCCTGAGCTACCAGGAAGCAGTTCAAGTCAGCCGAAAGCTTGTTGGGGGGGGGGTCCAAGAGAGAGTTTCTCAGCCTGCGGACACTGTGTGTGCGCGAAGAAGAGGGAGCTGGATAGGCAGCATAGAAGTGCGAAGAGGGGGCTGCATAGGCAGCTGCCTCGCGAATGAGGCGATTTGAGTGGGACTCTGAGGCTTTGAAGAATCTCTCAGAGGAATTGCTGAATTGTCGGAAGCTCTAAGTCTCGGTGGGGGTCGGCGTTACGGACAATACGGTGATTTCGTAGCCCGACGACAGAAGAGAGAGATTGGGTTTAGCATGAGCGAAAATGGGGGCCGCGTAGGTCATAACGGGTAGTATACAGACCTTATATAGGATCCGCTTGTTGCAGAGGAACATTTTACTCTGTCTGCCCAACATGCCGTTGAGCCTACCCATGTAAAATCGTGCGGTGCGAGTTACTTTCTTGATATGGGGCTCGAAAGTGAGCCTCGCATCAAGAGTGACGCCTAAGTATTTGACTTTTGTTTGCCATGGGACAGTGGTTCCTAACATCCTGATTGGCGGAATGGCAGTGAGACGGCGTCGTTTATGTTCGAAGCAAACGGCGGAGCTCTTCTCCGGGTTTACGTCGATACGCCATTTTTGGAACCAAGCTGCTAAGTCACTAACTGACTTTTGGATCTTGTTCCGAATCAATAGCAGTGAATTGATTAGAAACTGATAGCGCGATTTAGGCTTTGATGTGTTTCGCTTGCAGCGCGATGACAGCGCCGCCACATCACCCCCCATTCACCCCACCCTCGCTTCCCGCTCAGACCGGAGGTCGATAGTGCAGTCTCGTTCTTGACGAATGTGCAAATGCCAGGGGATTGATTGCCTTGTAGTCTGCGGTGAGTCGAGGAGAAGGCAAGTAATCTGCGAGAGTGCCGTGAAGCAGCGGCGAGCAGTAAGGCTCAGAACCGCGCGGAACACTAGCGCAGAGAGTAACTTGAAGGATCAGGAAGCATTATTATTCCAGTGCTGCGATGAACCTTGTGAAGCTAGATGGCTTGCAGGATGTCAAGACTGCAGACGATATCTGCTCGGGAGCGAATGGGCAAAATGAAGTTTCCGAAGGTTGTTGGAGGCGTGTTCATATCACGTCAGGTAGCCAGTATATAGCGATGGACGGAAAAGGGGAGATCTCACACCGGGCAAGGTGATCTGCCCGGGGAGCGGTCAACGCTCCGTTAGATAGTTCAGAGTTATTCTATATATACTGTTTTTGATTCGGAACTTTGATAGAATATTAGAACTGTGTAACTGTGTATAGAATCTTCTTTTTATTCGAATATTATCTTTTTCTTCCTTTGCCAATGAGCAGGCTATTCCAACATTTTTTTCCATAGCGATCCGAGCGATTACGAGCGATCAGTGTCATTATACCGTTTCACACCAGTGGTTGAAAAAAATTGCAAAAGTAGTTGGCAATACAAAAGAATTGCCTACGGCGCGTACGGAAAATTGCGAGGCCATCAGTAGATGCGGCGCGTACGTCGCGTACGGCGCGTACGGTTCTCTCAAATGCGTTCAACTTATTAATTCATTACAGCTTATCAAAATCCACCGCTGAACATAGGCTTCCGCCCCCAACCTCTTAGGTAGGATATTTGACATAGTTATCATAGTTCTTTTTTAATATGACACTGTAGCCAATCTCGTTTAATTTCGCGCTGTCGAATCTTATAATATTATTATTATTAAATAAAATATCTGTGGCTACAACCAGTAAAATAGCATGGATCATAATTCACGCCTATCAATTAGGCTGTTATTTTATGTCCTTCGCCTCTATTTTTTAAAAGTAGTAATTTTTAGCCTACTTTTATTTATGGAGTGTAGAAGTAACTCTGTATAAAAAATGTCCATAGCAAAGCGCTAAATAAGGGTGGCGCCACTGTAGCTAGAATGTAAATTTTAAAGAACTATTTAAAAAAAATTATTCCACAGACTTTCACCATAATTCTTTTTATAATAATAATAATTAATGGTTTTCAAAATTTTTATTTTTAAAACCACTCAACGTGTTTTACGGCGACTATTTCTAGGTTATATTTACTAAATTATTTTAGACAACGTGAGTAGTTGATGTTTTAAATACTGCAGTTTCATCAACTACTTTAGTCACCACCAATATTGAATTCCTCAACTCAGCACTACATTGCACTGCGTCGACAACTGCAAAAGTTAATTTCATACCCTCTAGCTACTCCAGCGCTGTTGTGGAGAGTTTTTGAACTGTTATTTGCTGCTTACAGACACTTTTTCAACTATTCTCCTATGGGAGTTCTCCTTACCTCTACACTCCGGACTTTTATTAATACATGCTATGACTAAATGCATATTGCTTTATTTATGATTTTAAAGAATAATGGTGTAGATACCCCAGTGCCATTTCTTGATTTGTTTTATATTATTAAAATATGTGTGTCATGGTAATATTATATTTAATTGATAAAATAAGTAGATCATATCTCAACCTAATATTAAAACTGTGTAATTGTGTATACAATGTAACCAAATACTTGTTCTGTAGGTCCTTACATAGTAAACGTAAAATAAATTATTAAAAAAAATATAGCTGATGATGCTGTGTTAAACTTCTAAATAACACAAATAACTGCACAATATTTTGTATGTACCTATTTAAAAATCATTAAAATTAAGGTCTGCATAGGACGGACTATATAGCTAACGACGATGAAAAAAATATTTCGTAATATCATTAAATACTAGCTTAAATTACCAAAGATATGTAACAATTATTATTAAATGTCGTTAATTTTTTTTAAGTCTTTCATTTTATTTTATTTTATTTTATAGGATAGGGTGACAAACGCACACAGTCCACATGATGGTAAGTGGTTGCTGTGGCCCATAGACATCTACGTCTATCCTCGATTACGAATCAAAATGCAGATGCATTGTCATCCGTGAGGACTAAGATGGAATGCCTTATTTCCAGTAAAAAGGGTCTCCGGTTCTCTACACTCACCATACGAAACACAGCAGCATTAAGCTACAATTTCACGCTGGTATTCTGTGGGAGCGTGGTCCTTCCCCGGTCGAGCCGACCCATTCGTGCTACTACTATACTACTAATATAACTGCAGCATGGCTCTACCAT